ATGTGTAATGCATGAACGTGTGTTTAAATGCTGTGCTCTAAGGCATTTTCTGCACTGGCCTTGGAGGCATTCAGCAACATTGTGAACGAACATTTGAGCACAGGTAATCAATATCACAAATAGAAATACCTTGTCATGTCCTCCAAACATTCTGTTCCACATAACGTAAAGAAATGAATTTATTAATTCCTGATGTGGTTTCATACTCTGTAATCAGCAAAATGCCATGTATGGTGTTTCAGCACTGTAGACTCACTAGAGCGACATTCCATTCACCATGAGTCAGCCTTTTATTGTATAGTAGAATAGAAAGTTGGGCCAGTTGAAATGCTGGCATGATTGATGGAGCACTACAGATTAAGACGAAAGGAACATATATTGCGCAGGACAAACACTGCCTTGCAATTGAAAGATTTGTTTCTAAAAACAAAAATGGAAAAACAATGCCAGGTGTAGCAGATACGCACACAAGTAAGACAGTAAGGCAAATCATTTAGCAACAACATGTGTGCATCCTTTAGAAAAATTCAAACACGCCACCTGATATCACAAGAGCCAAGCAGATAAGCAAACTTCTTCTCGGTAAAGGATATCAACGTATGGCTCACTCATCCATCTCCCATTCTTTTAATGTGAAAGTCCTCTATAACCTCCCGGAAGGGCAGCAAAAATGACCATTTCAAGGGGGTCCCTTCCCCAAACCAAAGAGGTGCCTCCCCATAGCAGGTTTCTGGCTATGCCCCTGAATTCACGAATTAACTTGCTACTGTGCACAGAAAGCATTTCCGCATCTAAAAACACTTAGAGCAGCCACAGGTATTACAATGCGATTCTAGATGCGATGTGTTTACCTTTTTCGAGGACTGATTATGTGCCATTAAACGCACATTATACATTTGCCACTTTGTTCAACGTATGATTTGCCGCAAGTAAGCAGAATTTGGTATATGTACAACCCCGCACTTACAAGGCACATATGTGGACACATGTTTAACTTTACAGCTGCAAGTTTTCTTCACACAATTCTCCACTTTTTTCTTAACAAGATTTTAGATACCTTTTTGGAGCTGAAAACACTGTGGTTATGCCATATCTTTTGCCAACATTTCTCAAGACATGGGACAGCTTATGTATGTGCAGCAAAACCGATACCTCATCATATTTTTATTTTTCTCAACTATGATGAGAAGAAAAGTCAGAATAAGGTATAGGTACACCACAACAGCAATGCATGCAATAACATTGCATGATAGCTTGGCTAGCGGGTTGACATGCATAGTTTAATGGGCACAAGAGCTAAACAACAAAGACAAACACCAAAAAACATGGCAATACCTTGCAACTAATTTTCATTAAAAGAAAATTAAAAATATATCTACATGTCAAGTTAACACATGCATGCATTAGAGAAGGAAACAATAACAAGAAAACCAAGGTCAAAGAAACAAAGTGCATTTAGTTGTTTTTTTTTGCTTTTTCTTTTCCTCCATAACACATTGTATGCCTGACGTAAATATGCATGCACATTAGTTGTTTGCTGCTAATAAACTTTAACTGGGAGTTAAAAATGCATTTCATTGTCCTTATTTTTTACATTATCACCCGCACCTTGCACTTTTATTCAATCAAGCATAAAATGCATTGTGCAGATTTGGAAGCACTTTCCAGCCATTTCGTATTTATTGAACAAAATTTAGAGAGAAACAAAGGCCTATTTTTTTCCAGCTTATTGCCTTATGAGGCATGTGCTTTCCTTCAAGTTATGATGGCAAACAGTCTCTTGCCTTCACCAAGGGCCTTTCATGGTTGAAGTAAAAGGTAGCCCACATGCTGATTCTTCAAGTTGTTTAGAGCCTCACAGCTCAACGCACAGCTCAGCTGTGTCAGGCTGAGCTGTGATAGGCGGGTTGCGCGCCCACATGTGCTCGGGTCTGTGGTGTCGCAATACACGAAATGCCTGTGGATTGGCAAGCACCCCTGTGTGTTAATTCTTAGCTAGACAAAGCTGTCATTTCAGTGTATACTATGGGTCTTCTGTATGTTCTTCTTGCACTCTGTATTATGAAACAATTCGGTTTGATTTGATAAAGCTGTCAAGATATGCCTTGATAAAGCTGTCAAGAACTGAGTGATTGGGATATGTAAATTGAATTTTTTTCAGAGCACCGTTGAATACTTGGGAGCACTTGGTTGGACCTGCATATCAAACTTTGGGCACGGTAGAAGCTTACGACACCAGGATATTATAAATAAAATAAACGGTGAGGTTTGTTCTCATAAGAAGGAATGGAAAGGCCATAGGAAAGCAGGAGTTTTGCAGAGTAGAAAAAACATAAATCCAGCCCCATTTTATTCAATCATAGCATTTAATTGTCTTAACTTGTTCGCCAAGGCATGTAAGTACATACAAGTTTTACGTATCTACAAAAAAATAATAAAAAAAAGCTTGCAATAAACGAAATCATTGCTGCACTGTGTGATACATATTGCTTTTTCATGCACTTGAACATTTGCTTTGTTACAAGGATCTTCAATCAAACAGTCTTTACGAAGAACATTAAGATGCCTAGCCCCATCTGCTGAATATTACATATTACTGAGGAAATCACTACTGCACCTGGAAGTTTTTTGGTGACATGACTAATAGATGGACCTCTATTTTTTGTAAAGCATGCACTTGAAAGAATTGCACACAATAATTACAGTGTACTAAAATGCTGCAACTAATATTTTTTCAACCTTAGTTATCTTGAAGTTATCCTTAGTTATCCTGCGCATTACCTTGTGTTGCACCTTACCCTGCGTTGTTCCTCGTTTTTCTGGTCAGTGTCTTACCAAGCAGCGTATCACAAGCATTATCATGTACTGACCGTTTAGTAACATTGCAAGTACATCATGAAAAAAAAAAAAAACACACTATTACAGGGCAAAAAAAAAACTGTAGTGTAAACTGCTACACAAAAATAATTTTGATAAATAGCAAGTGAAAGACTGTGTATCAGCAAATATAGTAGCTACCCAAAAAAAGAGGACAAAAATGTCACAGCTTTGTCGCAAAGGTGCAGCAATGAACACGATAGCAACAAATTGGAAGGTCACGTGCAGAATGGCAAGCAGACCGAAACGTGCCCTGTGTTTCTCATGCAAAAATGACTCAGGAAACGTACTCACAGGTACAGATTAATGCGAATAAGCGTCTCAATTGTTACTTTGCTGTGTCTGAAAAGTGCGCCTTTTTTGCAAATGGAGGCTGTGTAACGATTGCAGTGACCTTTGGGAGCACTGTAACTACAACCTAGTTGTTCCAGTGCAAGCCCAATGCCAGCCAACACAAATGATCCTCCCCATCGGGAGATAAGGGCGCACGAGAAATTGTCCACCCCTCCTCTCCGCAGGCCAAAGTACACGTGAAAGATGAGAGCCGCCACGCGCTCATTGCGCCATCTTGCTGATAATGCTGAAAACATGATAGTTTTCCCCCGAGATGCCCGCCAACAGCGGTAAGTGGTAGATATAAACCGTTTGCCATTTGAACGTTGAAGCAGGTACCCCTTGGAGGCTCAGTGGTTAATGCCTCGCATTCACGACGCAGAAGTCCCACAATAGATTCCGCGCGCCGGAGTCTTTTTCCTGGATTTTTTTTCTTTCTTGCGTTTTTATATGTGTAGATACGTATACATATACGGTGCATGACATTGACGCTGACGCCTGCGACAAAGTACAGCCGAGAGTGTCCATATAATTGCTATCGCAATAATAAAAAAGAACAGGTATATCGGATCAACAGGAATAACGAGGTTTTAGAACATCACGTATCAGCTAGGCATTACATCGCGGCACTAGGATAAAAAAAACTACACATATATTTAAACAAGAAGGAACATTTTATACCACTGTACTTGTGGCACTCATCAAGAATAACATATATAATAAGCCTTGTACAGACATACTCTGCCACGCCAATATTGCTACAATAATGTTTATGGGACTACAGTAAAATATATTTCTTGACAACTGCTCAGAAAAGATTTGAAAGAGGGCCTTCAAAGCAAACAAGTTTTTTGGAGGTACTTCCAGTTCATAAAGATTTTTTAAAAAATGCTGGATAGAAAAGGCACGCTTCGTCAAGACAGTTTTCAAAATTCGATGACAGCTTTAGAGACTCCCAAGGACTTGCGACAGATTTTACCAAGATAATTGTGATTCAAGACCCGTTTCACTATCTTAGACATGCCTTCCACTACCATGCACACTTCCCAATTTTTTTCTTAAGTGATAAGGTTAGCAAGAGAAGTGAAGTTCCTTCTCAACAGCTTGCCCTATGGTTGCATGAAGAAGCTCAGTCCATTGCTTGCTGTACCATAGTACAGCAAACAATGGTAAGTCCTTACAAAGGAAAGCCCCAATAGATCATCACATATTCCCAGAAGAATAGGCAGCATACGGTATACATGTAAAAATTTCAAACACAGATGCAGTAACACCACAAACATACATGGTTAGTGACACACTCAGTGTTGTAAATCTTCATGTTTTTTTTTTCAACTAACTTTTTTGTGCAAGAGATGTGGTGGCGTAGGTGAGTTGATACGATGAATGGCTGCGACAAACTATTCGAGCAGAAGGAGTATTGACATGGATGTTCACCTTTGTTACTGCACAGGATTTCTCCACTTGCAGAAGACTGCTCTTGCGCAAGAAGGCAGAAATGACACTTGAATGGTCATGCACCTGTGTGCACAGGTTGGTGTTCCACAAAATGAGAAAAATTTGCCGAGAAGGCTTTTATACACGAAGGACGTGGGTATGGTCGCTCAACTCTATGGGTGTTCGGGTGTTTCCTGGAATAGCAAGCTCATGAGAAGCCAAGAGGGCATAAGTGGCATTGAAACATTCGCTTGCTTAAGTGGACCTTTTGATGCACTTGAGAATGTATATCTCCAAGTAAATCAAATGTACTTAACCACAAAGACTTGAAGTGGACATAGATGCTGTAGAGTCATTTGCCTTTGTGTGTTTTCATATGCTTCTTCAACTGAATGTTCCATACAAAAGACTTTGAGCAGACAGTGCAATTGTATGGTCGTTCGCCTGTGTGGAGGCGCAGGTGACATGATAGGGATGATTGCTGCGGAAAGCTTTTCGCGCAGAAGGAGCACTGAAATGGACGTTCACCAGTGTGAGTGCGCAGGTGTTTCTCGAGTGTGTCACGCCTTGAAAAGGTGTAAGGGCAGAAACGACACTTAAACGGTCGCTCGCCTCCGTGGATGCGCAAGTGTCTCTTAAGATGGCAGGCAAACGAGAAGCTTTGAGGGCACAAGTGGCATTCAAACAGTCTTTTGCTTGAGTGGACCTTTTGATGGACTGCACTGTGAGAAAGTCTTTCAGTCTCAGAGTCACAGAGGGAAAAGTGGCTCTGCTGTGCGTGGTGTGAGTTGACGTCCTCAGGAGTTGCTGGGTACTTGGAATGCCTCTTTGCTGCATAGAAAAAAAAAAAAAACAGAAAACACATGCACATTGCTTGGTACATCTTAAGAACAAAATATAGATTTATTATTGGTTGAACAAAACACCAGGGAATAAATTCCGGAGTTAAAGATAATCACGTGACTCATAGCTTATCTACCTCTTCCAGTAGATCAGTATATTAGTGTGTAAATAAATGATTACTTGATGTGCGAAACTTATCCAGATATAAATTAGGTGGTATTTAATGTGTTTGTGATATGCTATCATTTAAATGTTGCTTCCATGATGAAAAACTAAAGCAGTATCTTCAAGCTTAGCAGCAGAACATAACATGAAAAAGTGTTTATACAGGTAACAGTACATTTCAAAAAGAAAAAGAAAAAAATAGCAATATTCCCAAGAGAGAATAAACATTCAGTCTTTAGCCCTTCGAAGGTCGATTTCTTTCTCACAAAATGCGTCCCGAGAATGTGTTTTTTTTAACTGCTAAATTAAATTCTTCAGATAAATTTATTTTAAAAAATTGCCTAATATTTCATTGGCTATCTATAATGTGACCAAGAAATCATTTGTGTTGTTCCATATGAATAGCTTATTCATGAACAACAGCAACATAAATATTAAAAAAAAAGCCTATAAGACCTTAAAAATTATGCATAGTGTTGCGGCTCCGGGTCCTGCGGGTCTCAGTTTTGGTAGCGGGCCCCCGTCGTAGGAACCGTCGTCGAACAAGTCAGATGAGGTGCTCGTACTAACGACAAAAATTTATTTACATGGCTCAGGAGCTCAGAAATGAGCTCGGGGAACTCAAGCTTGAGGACTCTGGCTGAAAGTCTCGCTCTGGACGAAGCTTACTGAAGGAATGCTGAAAACACACACGTACCCCCCTTTAAAAAGCAGCCTAGTCAACCCTGGTCGCATTGTCCACTCTTTCAGTCAATGAGATGCTCGATGACTGGTCGGGCAACTCATGAAGGCGGAACCACCTTTTTGCATGCAGGTGTAGAGAAGGAAAGTCCACAAAAAGGGCTCACTAACGTGTTTCACACCACCACAACACTTCGATGCCCGGCTTCTTGATCACGTGCGTGTCTGAGAAATTTGGCTTTTCCTTGAAAATCCTGGCCAAGCCCGACGACATGGTGCTTCTACCTCCAGCCAAACTGCCTACGCTGAGCAGCAGGCAATTAGGAGAATTGGGACAATAGGGTGGCAAGCGAAAGAATCCCGTCGTCTGTAGGCCACGGCGAGCCGGCGCATTCTGCCCGATGTGCGAACCAAGGCAGAGCCCAAGCCTTGACCGGTGGTCAAGCCTGCCTTCCATTGCACTGGGGATCGATGTCCCGTGCGTTGGTCTTTGTCTGAGGTGGAGAAGCCGTCGCATTTTTTTTTTAGGAATCCGAATGTGGCTGTGCATGCTTCTCCTCCCACAACTTCCTTCCTGAGACATGAGCACGAGGTCATTCATAACAATAGCTATAAACACATTTGTATTTCAAAGGCGTTTATACTTTGTGTATAACAAGCTGGCATTTACTGAATCCGATTCTGATTCGACAGTCAAGCGGCGGTTCAAAGGAATTGAAATATACAGGCAACGATGCACCTCTATGTCCTTGACTGTCTTGTGGCTGTTTGTGGATCCTACAAGTACAGACAAGTTCACTGTTAAAGGATCATGCAGGTGTATTTCACTTTCTTACAAAAGAACAGTGGACCAAGTTTGCAGAAGATGGTTGACACTTGCGACTCTTCTCAACAGACTAGTGACGTGCCTGAAGATTGTTTTGTTATACACTGGCTGTTAGAGGGCTTGTAATATCGACAGTGTTAATTTGAGTATTCCCTTTAACAGTGAACTGTACTGTACATCTTTGACCCTCAAAGGGTCGACATGACCATCGCATACACAATGATTTTCTAAAGACAGAACTCACAGAGCAGCGCACCCTTAAATTTCCTTCATATGAAGGAATAATTGTGAACAATATTGCAGTAGTAAGACAATGACAACCTTATGAAAAATAAAAGATATACACTAATTTTATGCATCTATTTAGTATACAAGATACATCCATAGTAACAGATCCAATGCACCAGAGTATATTCAGCAAACTGTATAAATGTGAAAATTCAAATAGGGACAGAATAACTATTTAAATATATATTAATGGAGACCTAGTCATTAATGTGATTTCATGTGACTATTCAAGTGAGCATCCCAAAAACACTGCACAGGGTGACAGAGCTGACAGGGTGTTTAATTCAGAAATTTAGAGAGCACAAGGAGCACTGGAATAGATGTTTACCACAGCAGGTATGCAGGTGATTCATTAGCAACTCTTTGAGAAGCTGTGAGAGCACAAGTGCTATGATCGCTCGTTCAGGTAGTCCATGCTATACAATTACAAATCAGACAGCCTTGTAGTCTCTTAGTGGCATAATTAGCATTGAATGGAGATGGCTGTGCGTTATTTCTTACCTCGAGTAGCCACTGCAGACTTCCCAACTTTAGTTGCTGTTGTAGAGATGGAATGCCTTATGTCTGCAAAAAATGCAAAAAACAAGGGGAGGGGGAGACGAATACCTTTTACCACAAAAGACTTCAAATAAAAGGAAATGCCAAAGATGTGAGAACATACATGCATACATCAGGAGCAGTCATGTTTATTCAGCTGGTATAGAAAAAAGAAATCTGGTATAATCAGACAAGAAATGGCTCGTTGACTTTTTCACCTACTCAACATACCTGTACATCGATACATTATAGCTACCGATGTCAGCAAAATTCGCAAAAATTTTCTAATTCTTTAAAATAAAAAATTATTATAACAAATAACATAGATTTAAACACTTGTAGTTGGCAACGCATTCTAATCCCCCCTCATATCAATACAAATCATATCAAGGCAACACACAATATAAACCAAGGAAAGAATATACTAATTTGCTTGGTTTACAAAATTAAAAAAAATGAAAGTGATAAATAAAGTAATTAAAGTGCATGAAAAAGCAAATGGCTGAGAGTGCAATACAAGACCACATTATAGCAGTGATGTGCGAATACTGGAAATCTTTAATATGCCATGAATAAGACACGAAACTGTCTGAATATTGAATCAAATATCAATAATGTGATGCTGACTATCAGTAGCCTACTTTATGTCCATTGCAGCTTAGAGGCCTCTTCCAATAATCTGCAACACATCCTCTCCTTTGTGATTTCATACCATTTTTGCAAGCAAACTTCTGAATTTCATAGCTCCACCTCACCTTTTGCCATCTTCGGCCATGTTCCAATCATTGAATTTTGAAAAATGAAAGCTAAAAATGCTTTTCATTACTCTTTGAAACAAATGAACGAGACTGCATCAAGCTGCAGGACATAGAAGATACCTTTTGTGATGTATACTAACTAGAAATCATTATGTAGAAAGATGAACTGCTTGACATGTTTACACTGTGCATTATTTCGATGGTCCGGGGCCACCAGCATTTGAAGCCATAACAAGCCTACTGTAGGCTTCTTCTGTACGCAAAAACAGACAGCACAAGGTGTTGCAAACAGCAAATATATAGAACATAATTTAATTCACTTTCGAAGTGTGCCTCCATGTTCATTCTTATAATCAAGATCCATTACTGGTGCGACAACACTCAAGTAACTGAGCAAAAAGTGTAATGAAAGCTTTAGCTACATCAGACCATATTACAGTGACATACAATGAGCTGTGACCCACAGCTCTATTATACCAGGTGAGCCAAAAGAGCATCGACTATGAAACCACACTCCCCCCCTTTTTTCTTTCTTCCCCTGCATGTTGCCGCAGCAGCCAAAGTTGCTGGCATTTTTCGAAGTGCTTGGCATCGTCAAGTGAGTCTTTGAAGGATACCTCAGAGAATTTCAAATTATTCACATATTTCTTTGCTTTAGCATGCCAGGTTGTGACATGTGAGGTGTGGCGGGATAGACAGGCCCCTTGGTGTAAATAAGATGAATCTGGCAAGCATAGAATTGTTGTTGCAGAATTCTATTTTTCTGTGATATAAATTCTTGGCAGTGATGCTGTTCTGAATCCATTACTTCATTAATCATTTCTTTTGCCAAGGTCACTCAGTGAAAAAACAACAAATGATGCATTTATATTAGCTTTTGCACGAAGCGTCGCAAGATGTCGACACCATCGTCAAGTAAACTGGTACTCCACGTAGATATCTAAGCATACTGAAATTTATATCATGCTAATACTCTATATTATATAATTTTAGCAAGATCTGAATGCATCATGACTGTTGCTCATGTGTGTGTGCTAGAGCAGACGATGCACCACTGCATGCGTCACAACTTTATGGGCCTGCGTGCTCAAGCTTTCTACACAGTGATGTCACTATCTAAGTCAGCAACCTGAAACCGAAACTGAATGTCGTTCACATAAGTAAGAGAATATCATATTATTTAGCTGGAATATATAAATAATTGAGTTTGTACCATGCTTGCTGAAGCAATAAGAAATGTATGCAACAAAGAACGCACAAGCCACAAATTTACTGGCGCCACCCCTTTTAGTGCTGTATCTCCACGTCTGAAAGTGAAATGAACTCTCCCTCATATGCAGCACTGTGATGTTTGCTTATTGGTATTTCATTTTTTTTCTGACATCAAGAGATTGTTTAGGTAATAAGCTTAAGCATTGTTTTATTGTATTTAGTTACACAATATGAAGTACAGCAAATGCTGTCTAAGAGATTGGGAGATTAAAGCTTGGTGAAAAAGAAACTTGTCCTTGCTGTCCAGGCATGCCAGAGGGGCCAAAACAAAACAAAGATTATGGATGCATCATACATATATGTCACTCATTACAGTAAAGCATTGCCAACTGCTGGGACTGCAGAATAAATATGCCATGAATGGTACCATACAGTAAACCTGAAGTACACCATAACAACACAGGTATGTATTAGTCATGTTTTATGCTAAAATTAAATATGCATAGCATTTGTAGATAATTAATTTTAGAAACATTCAACTTTGTCCCAACATTCGCGGCTTTTTTGTTCTGCAACCATATGTCGAAACAAAGACAAGAAAGTGACATTTTTACGTAAACTTGACAACACAAATTAACATTCACATCCCCTCATTCAACTTTTTTAAAAATACCTAGCACAACAACAGAACCATGATGCTAAAAGAACCCATTCTTATAGCATGAATAACAATTAATATACACATAAAAGTTTCACAAATGGGGCAACAAAGCACTTTGCATGTGGTGGCTCTTAAAATCTTTTGGCGAGTCCCTTTTTGCGAGAACCATGCTGTTAAACTTGTGGTGAACACCGTTCTTGCTTGCTCTTCAACATGCTTTGAGCCCTTGAGGTAAGCACCTGCCGGTGACATGCAACACCTGACATCTGTAAGGATACAAACAATGTGCATCTATAAAGCTGGGTGTTTCTTTAGCTTATCAAAATAATACCAAGGGTAAAAAGGTTCCATTTCACTTAAGAATGTGCTTTCACAAGAGCTGTAACGAATGTGTTTTTTATTATTTACTGGATCATGAATAATACTTTTTAACACAAATGATTGTGTCAGACAACTACTCATCCACCTCCAAGTGTTTTGATCATTTTCGGAATGTATGACAATGGCGATTCCTAGAGTGTTTAGTTTAGCAGCAGCAATGCATGGAAAGTAGTAAAAGGGCCACCACCAATGCTGTCTTCCCAATGCTCTCCTCGTCATCACAGTCATCAGCCTCCACTGCGCTCTGCATTCGCTATCTTTAACCCCACCCTGTAATCATTGCTTACAGTGACTACAGCAACGTGAAATGCATAAACTGGTGAATAAAACCTGTGCTCTAAGGCGTCATTTGCAATGGCTTTGAAGACACTCACCAACACTGTGAACAAAGATTTGAGCAACCATCTAGTCAAGTTATTTGAACCTTGATTTCCGCATTGCATTAAAGTGATATTAACATGGTTTAATATGCCGTAATCAGTAACACATCATGTTTGCCACGTCAGTACAGTAGACCCACACAAGAATGACGTCACATTCACCATGAATCAGCCTTGTATTGTGTACTACTTTACACATTAATCCATTTATTTATGGTATTTGTTACAGGT